TACATTTTTGTTGACTTTCCTCATCTCATAACTGGATGCTTATCTTATGAATTAAATTCTGTCATATATCAGCACTACGTTTAGCCAAAGGGGACCTTATGCCATAAAGTAATTGGGTGCCAAGTAAATTATCTGCTTGCAGGCAGAGTGGGAAAGAGCTGAAAACTAGTTTCTTATTTAAAAATTTACAACAACTTGCATTTATATACTACCCTTCACCGGGGTAGCATTCGAGCCAGGGGGAGAGGGGAAGATAACCATAAATACGATCAAAAAGAAAGGACTTTAGGCTGGATTTGAAAGCGGGGAAGGAGGGGCCAAGGTAGAGGGATTGAAGGAGAGAGTTCCAGAGTTTCGGGGCATAGTGGCTGAAGGCACGGCCGCTGATGGTGGAGGGGATGAGGAACAAACACGAGGCCAGAGGCAGTGGGGAGTAAGCAGATCAGACAGGTAAGGGATGTGTGAGGGCATGAAGGATTTGAAAACAAGTGAAGATCTTGAAAACTTTCGGTAATTGGGATCCAGTGGAACCTGGCATGGACTGGTGTAATGGGAGATTTGTGCAGGTGTGTATCCAGGTGGAGGAGTTTTGGATGAATTGATTTTGTGTACAACAACAAAATTACATTTGTATAGCGCCTTTCACATCGGGAGGACGTCCCAAGGCGCTGGACAAACAGTGTTTCGAACCCGAGCTGGGAGTTAGGATCAGGGAGGGTGGAGGGCAGGGCGGGAAGAAGGGTGATCGAAGGCACGGTTGAAGAGGAGGGTCTTGAGATGGGTCTTGAACGAGGTAAGGGAGAGGCGAGCCGGAGGGACTGTTGGATGGAGTTCCAGATGATTGGGGCAGAGTGGCTGAAGGCCCACCCGCCAGTGGTGGGGCGGGTGAGTCGGGGGACGTGAAGCAGGCCGGTGCCCTCTGAGCAGAGGGAGTGGGCAGGTTGGTAGGGGTTTAGGAGGTCAAATTAAAGCCAGAAGTGTGATAGGAGTTTTTCTTAATGTTCATTTGCAGCCAATCGCCTACAAAATTCACGTCATTTTACATTAAACCCTGTGAAGAGACTTACGTTAAGTCCTTCTGACGTGAAGGGCTCTGTATCATATACAAAGAATATAATCATTATTTATAGTTGCCCATGAGACCCTGCTGTCATACTTTACTACTACAATTGCTTGCAAATAGTCACTAAACGTAATTATTACTCATGAAGCATTTTAAGATTGAAAAATGCAAGTTTTCATTTTTCATTTTTCTTTTCTGGAAAGGCAAATAAGATAAGCTTTACTCATAAAACAAATTCTATTAAAACGAGCTCACAAGAAAATCACCCTGTTGACGTAACACATTATTCTTTAAAGTAGGTTCTTCATGGCAATTCTATGATTTGCAATGATGTATAAAAAACTTCTAAATCGGGATTAATTTTCAAATGTATATTATAGACACACTACAAGCTGCCTCAATAGAGTGTAGTGAAAACCAGATAGATTGGATCCATTCACTCTAAAAATACTACAATAATAATAATCCTTCCATTTTGATATAGTGTCTTATCATGTCATCAAATGCCAACTGTTAGACTTCCTCGAATCCAAAATCGAGGGAATCTGGTCAGCTGCCTTTGCCACTGCAACTACTATCCCCTCCGCATCTCCTCCTCCCACCCCAGCCCCTACCCACCACTCCCTCCACACCTTTGAACCCGTCTCCCCCTCCTCTCTCATCACCACCATAACCCGTATGAAACCCACCACCTGTTCCCTGGATCCCATCCCTACCGCTCTTCTTACCTCCCAGCTCCACCTTCTTGCCTCTCTACTCACTGACATTGTTAACCTCTCCCTGTACTCTGGTACTGTTCCCACCCCTGTCAAACGCTTTCATCATTCCTATCCTTAAAAAAACGTACCTGGACCCTTTCTACTCTCTTAACTACCGCCCCATCTCCAACCTCCCCTTCCTCTCAAAGGTCCTGGAATGAGTTGTTGCTTCTCAGCTTCGCTCCTTCCTCTCTCGCCACTCCCTTCTCGAACCCCCTCAATCGAGCTTCTGTGCTGCCCACAGCACAGAAACCGCCCTGGTTAAAGTGACAAATGACATTCTGTCCATTTGCAACCAGGGATCCCTCTGCCTCCAGGTCCTCCTTGACCTGTCTGCTCCTTTCGACACCGTCAACCACTCTATAATCATCCACCGCCTCTCCTCTCACCTCGACCTCCACGGCGCTGTCCTTAATTGGTTCAGATCGTACCTCTCACACCACCTGCACTTCATCTCCTCCAACGGCTTCTCCTCTAGCCCCCAGACAGTCTCGTGCAGCGTTCCTCAGGGCTCTGCCCTTGGTCTCCTCTTCTTCAATATCTATATGCTCCCACTTGGTGACATCATCCGCAGACATAGGGTCAACTTCCACATGTGTGCGGATGACACCCAACTCTTATCTCTCTGTCTCCACCCTTGACTCCAGGACCATTGTTGTGCTAATGGACTGTCTGTCAGACCTCAAGTCCTGGATGAGAGCTAACTTTCTTCAGTTGAACGTCAACAAGACCAAGGCTCTCCTGATTGGCTCCCGTCAGTGCCTCCTCACCTCTCGCCCTGACGGTATCAAACCCAATCCGGAATCTTCGGGTCTTGTTTGACCCTCAACTGTTCTTTCTACCTCACATCTGCGCCATGACCCGCTCTGCCTTCCCCCACCTCCGCAATGTCGCCCGGCTCCGACACTGTCTCACACTGCAGGCCGCCGAAACCCTCATACATGCCTTCATTACATCAAGGCTCGACTATGCAAACTCACTGCTTGTCGGCTTCCCCAACTCTTCCCTCCAAAGGCTGCAGATCATCCAGAATTCTGCAGCCCATGTCCTCTCCCAAACTAGGCTCCGTGACCCTATCACCCCCATCCTTTCCCAACTCCACTGGCTTCCCATCACACAGAGGATACAGTTCAAATCCTGGTCCTCACCTTCAAAGCTCTCCATGGTCTTGCTCCCCCCCTACCTCTCCGACCTCCTAACCCCCTACCATCCTGTTCGCTCCCTCCACTCAGTGGGCTCTGGCCTGCTTCACGTCCCCCGTCTTGCTCACCCCACTATCAGAGGGTGGACTTTCCGCCACTCTTCACCCACTCTCTGGAACTCCATCCGGTAGTCTCTCCATCTCGCCCCCTCCCTCGCCACCTTCAAGACCTGTAGCTCAGTGGTTAGAGCAAGCGAAACACCTGGGTTCAAATCCAGGTAGGGCAAAACCTTGGGCAAGTTTCCTTACTCCACATACCTAATAATAATCCCTCCAAAAAAAAACAATAATAAATCGGTCATTTTCAATCCACGACTGTTTGTGGGACACTGCTTTGCACAATTCGCTACCACGTTTTGCCCACGAATATACAGTCAATTCACTTTACAGTATATTCTATGAAGCGCTTTGAGACATCTAGACGTGATAAGGCACTATATCAAATGCAAGGATTATTATTATTAAGACCTACGTCAAGACCCTCCTCTTCTACCGTGCTTTCAATCTCCTTGCTTCCCCACCCCTGCCTTCCCCCCTCTTCCACCCCGACCCTCAGCTCGGGACCCAAACTCTGTCTGTCCAGCGCCTTGGGATGTCCTCCTGACGTGAAAGGCGCTATATAAATGTAATTTTGTTGTTGTTTGTTGTTACTGTGACTGTATTTTGTGGGTGAATGCGGCAGCTAATTTGCACATAGCAATGTCCAGCCATGAAGTAAGTAACCAATTGTATTTGGGGGATTATAGGCCAGGATACCAGGAGAAATTCCCTTCTCATTTTGAATAGTGCTATAAGATCTTTAATATCCAGGCAGATGGGACTTTGGTTTAATGTCTCACCAAAGAATGGCAACTCCAGCGATGCAACACAACCCCAGGACTGTATTGGAATGTCAGCATAGACTATGGTTTCCAAATTCTGGCCTGAACCCACTACCTTTTAACTCAGAGGCAAGAGTGCTATGAACTGAGCTAAGCCTACACTACTACTTCAGCCAACGCATGAATGTTTTGGGAGGGTCAGCCGGGTGTCTGCAAAAACCCATCATCGTGCTTAAGAGTATCCAAACCAAGCAGAGATTTCCATGCCTCCCACCTACACATGGAAATCCCAGAGATAGATTGTTGGAATAGTATGCACACTCTCTCCCTGGAGGGATGCATCCTGCTTACCTAATTCCAGAAAATATTAGTCACAGGTTGGTAAGAGCCAAGGCTTGGGGACCCCAGAATGTGCGTTGGGATACTGCTGGAGTCTAACCAGTTAAACCCGCATAGCTTGCCATTGATATTGGTGCCCAGAAAGCTTTTCCATTACTTGTCCATCTTATCCGTTAGGGCTTTGGCTTGCAGGGTTAACAGGAGCTGAGTGGAATGACTCCCTGCCCCCAGTGACTGTGCTATCATCAGTTGTGTGCCCTGGAATACTGTGGACCCGCCTGGCTCATGAACTAGACTACAGAGACCGCCACAGAGGGCTGGCTCAATTCGCTTGGCGCCAGTTCAGTTCCAAGGGACCCGGCTTACCCACCTCACGTCCCCCCTCCCCCTCCCAGGAGGATAACGGCACATGAATGACTTGATTTGAACCTGTTATGTTAGTGGGTTTAACAATTCTTTGTGGAGAGTCATGTAAAGATAAAACATTTGGGCCCCTGTAGTGTTATGGTGTTGCATAGAGTATCCATTGTGAGTTGTTGAAGTAAAACTGTCGTTGGTTTGCCAACAACTGGAGTTATGCCTCATGGGTGTGGACATTATCAAGGCCATTGAGCAGCTGGAGATATAGTTTGGCTGTTTCAGTTGAGTTGTTGGAAGTCGATTCAAAAGTTCTATGAGAGCAATGCAATGATACCCTTGGGAAATTGTGTGCTGATGGGAAATATGGATATCCTTGTAAAATGTAGTATACCGCATGTGTATCATTATACAGCTCTAGTGCTATGTGATTAAGTTTAACTTCCTCTTGTATTTGAAAGAGTGAAGAAATGTCAAATGAAGGCGAAGAGGACACCGATGTCAACAAGTCGGAAATCAGCTTGGTGTTTGAGATTGCTTTGAAGCGCAACATGCCTGTCAATTTTGAGGTAGGTGTTTAAATGTATGAACGAAAATATCATAACAATTTGGGTTACTACAATGAAATACCATTTATTTCCATGTTTGTTTACCTCCACGTTCATTATGCAAGTGGGTTCTGATGCAGGACAGTGAGACACTGGCAAGAATACTGTTGTGCGTATGTGTGAAGTTGCCAGGGATGCTTTGAGTCTGGAACATCATAATTCAAACAACTTTGCACATGCTTGCAGTTTCGCACATACCCACCAACAGGATTTTTTTTGCTCACTGCAATAGTAGATCTTAATATTTTTACAGTATACAATTTAAGATTAAATATATTGTATAAATAAAGATAGAAAGTTAGATTCTCGAGAGAAACGTAGACAGAGAGAGAAACTCAGAGAGAAAAGGGCAGTGTGAGGAAGAAGAAGTAAAAGGGAAAAACACTGGGTGAAGGCAAGGTCGAGAGAAGTGGGCTGGCAGTGTACTGAGACACAATAATAATAATAACCCTTGCATTTGATATAGCGCTTTATCATATGTTCGAGACATCTCAAAGCCAATTGCCACAGCAGTGTCCCACAAACAATCATGGATTGAAGTGACCGATTCATTATTATACAATGGGCCTTCTCTGCTGTAAATTTCCGCTGTACTTTATCTAACAATTTTTTAGATGGCCTTGTGGCCAATTTGTATCTTGTCTGATGTCAAATTATCCTCACTTGTCTGCTTATCTGTAAATAGGCCAGTTCCAATTAGCGTGGATAATTGACTTTACCGTGAAGATTTTGAGAAGTTTTGGTTGAATTGCTGCTGGGGAACAATTAGGTCCGAAATAAATTCTCTGCTATCGCAAACCAGGTTTACAAATTGGTGTCTTTTTCAAACCATTTACCAAGGTCCTGGCTTGACGAGAGTAAGACTTTGAGAGCAATCATTGAAAAAACATTCTGTCATGTTTTGATGCATATTATGTGAGCAGTTCTGTTCTTCAATGATCAATCATGATTACGTGTATTTTGCTGAGGTGACCTAGAAAAGTGCTAGTTTTAACTAATTATTTTTGTTAACGGAAAGATTTAAGTAGAAAAAAATGTTAAGAGGATTTGTCATGAAAGATTGCCTGTATTATTCCTTCTTTGTGAATAAATCTTCTGTGGTGCAATTAATATAAAAAGGGATTCACGTGGAGTTCTGTAGCTTAGTGGTTAGAGCACATGCCTTACAAGCGAGAGGACCTGGGTTTGATTCCCAGGCAGGTCGAAACATTGGGCACGTTTACTTATTCCACACCCCTGTTTACCTAGCAGTAAGTAGGAACCCATTTGTTAGTCGATTGGCAGATCGCTTTTCTGGGGGTAATAATCCCTTTAATAATAATAATTTGGTTACTCAATCCAAGACTGTTTGTGGGACACTGCTGTTCGCAATTGGCTGCCGTGTTTCGCCCACAAGATATAGTCAATTCACTTTAAAGTATATTCTGTGAAGCACTTTGAGATGTCTCAAAGACGCGATAAGGCGCTATATCAAATGTAATGATTATTATTACAATATTATTCTTGTTGCACACAGATGTCTGTCAGCACAACTGTTTAGCAGTATCAGTTGTGCAGTGTTTTGATGATTCAACTTCACACAGTGTTAGGTACAGTGATATAGATAATGTTAATGTGACAAGGATTATTGTTATGTAAATCCACATAATGTTGCTTTTCAAGGGTAAGGCAATTTACTTTAAATCAGCATAACTATTTCCACATGCTATATTTTCAGTGTTGCAATATTTTTTCAATACTGAATATTTAAATTCTGAATATGATTCGTTACTTGATTCAGTTAGCTAACCAGGAACCAGATTAAAAGTCGGGATCCCTGACTTGAGTGTGGCACTCATAGGTTTACATAGAATTTACAGCACGCAAACAGGCCATTCAGCCCAACTAGTCTGTGTCTACATTCACACTACAGCCAGCTATATAATATTTAATAGAAAATTTATTAAATTGTTCATCCCATTGAAAGTCTAGAATTGAGACTTCATCAATCGCACTAACAAGGGAATGGATTAATTGACCAGATTTACAATGAGTGAAAGTTAGGAACTATTCAGGTAGGAGCAGGCTGGAGCCCGCTGAACGGAGGGAGCAGACAGGTTGTTAAGGAGTTAGCAGGTTGGAGAGGTAGGAAGGGGCGAGGCCGTGGAGGACCTTGAAGATGAAGACGAAGATTTTGAACTTGATCCTATGAGGGATGGGGAGCCAGTGGAGACGGGCGAGGGTGGGTGTGATGGGGTCACGGAATCTGGTGCGGGAGAGGACACAAGCTGCAGTGTTCTGGATGATCTGCAGCTTGTGGAGGGAAGAGTTGAGAAAACTGACAAGCAGGGAGTTGGCGTAGTCGAGCCTAGGTGTAATGAAGGCATGCATGAGGATTTCAGCGGGCTGAGGGGTAAGACAGTGGCAGAGTTGGGCAATATTGTGGAGTTGGGGTCATGGCACAGATGTGGGGAGAAAGGATAGTTAAGGGTCGAACAAGACGCCTAGATTCCTGACCCACTTGGTGAGGTGGAGTGAGCAAACGTGGATGCTGATGCTGCCAGTGCCTGAGATGCAGAGGCGCTAGCGCGAGCCAATCAGATGTTCTACTGTAGAAAGTTGTCTCTCAGCCAGGACTTGATGTCTGACAGACATTCTGTCTGGACATCAGTGGTACTGGAGTTGAGGGTATGGCAGAGAGATAGAGTTGGGTGTCATCTGCATACATGTGGAAGTTAACCCCAAATCTGTGAATGATGTCACCAAGAGGAAGCATGTACAGGTTGAACAGCAGAGGATCGAGGACAGAGCCTTGAGGAACACCGCACGAGATAGTGCAGGGGCTGGAGGAGAAGCCATTTGTGAAGACAAAGTGGAGCCGGTGTGAGAGATAGGATCTGAACCATTCAAGTACAGAACCTTGAAGGTTGAGATGAGAGGAGAGGCGGTGGAGGAGGATAGAGTGGTCCACAGTGTCGAAGGCAGCAGAGAGGACGAGGAGACAGGGAGCCCTGGTCACAGATGGACAGAATGTCATTTGTCACCTTGATCAGGGCTGTTTCTGAGCAGCACAGAAACACGATTGGGGGTTTAGTTAAGGGAGTGGCAGGAGAGAAGCTGGGAAGCAACAACTCTTTCAAAGACCTTGGAAAGGAAGGGGAGATTGGAAATGGGGCTGTAGTTAGTGAGCAGGGATGGGTCCAGGGAAGTTTTTTTTAGGATAGGAGCGATGACAGCTGATTTTAAGGGGGTGGGAACGATACCAGTTGACAGGGAAAGGTTGACAAGGTCTGAGAGTAAAGCGGCGAGGAGGTGGAGCTGGGAGGTAAGGAGAGGGGTAGGGATGGGGTCGAGAGAGCAGGTGGTGGGCTTTGTGTGGGTTAAAGTGGTGGTGAGAGAGGAGAGGGAGTCAGGTTTGAAGGTGTGGAGGGAGGGATGGATAGGGGCCAGAGTGTGAGGGAGAGGGGGGTGGTAATTGGGAGGCCGGAGGAGGCTGAATGGATCCCCTCGATTTTGGTTTTGAGGAAATCCAGCATCTCATCGGAGTTGAGGGAGAGGATGGGCGAGGCATGAGAGGGTGGAGCCAGTTAGTAGAGGAGAAGAGGAGCCTGGGGTTGTCCTTGCCTTCCAAGATTATCTTGGAATAGAAGGACGATTTAGCGGAGGCAAGGGCGGAATGGTAAGTTTTGATGTGATCCAGCCAGATCTGCCGGTGGACCATTAAATTATCGCTTTTTAAAAAAAAAATACTTTACACAGACTTCTTCACCCATGGAGAAACCTGTTTTGTATATTTCCTGTGTATTTTCTGTTTGCTTATTGGCCTCGATATTGATTGGTCAAGTAATGGTTTATGAAGTGCTCGGAGACATGTAAAGGGCGCTAAATAAATGTAAGTTGTTGTTATGAAGGTGCACTGAACTTTTATTCAATTGTAATGATTCTCAAAGATCCATTTGGCTTCTCAAGGGCGTTTTATTTTTATAACTTTCACAGGACTTGGCATTATTACAGGTCATAGCAATATTCTTTCTTGATGAGATGTGTTGAAAAGAAACTTGTAATGTAATCCTTATCAGATTGCTGCTAGGAAAGAAACTTGAAAGTCAACTTTTCTTTTCTAAATGTGGGGGTATGAAGACAGATACTCCCACGTTATTGTGTTACTTTTAATTCCTTCTTAGATTTATAAGCATCTCAAAAGCCAAATTCTTCGTCATTGTTTTCAGCAGCTCATGAGTCACAAGAACAGTATTAACCATGGTTACATGAAAGTGTCATCTTACAATGAATTTGCTGCGAATAACTGACTCTTTTAACATGCAAGGGTCTATATTTTGCAATGCAGTAACACAGATAGGCATATTCAGTTCTGGAATCATTTTGGCTGTGGCAAAATGATCTCCAGCTTATAGTGGTATGTTTCTACTGGAATAAAAGAATAAAACATGCTAATTACAGCAAGTCTGCGTTTTCCAGATATTTTAACTCGTTTGTGATAACTAAAATACCAAATAAAACAATTATCAAGGTCGTATCTGATAAACTAAATGAACTAGCACTGATATTTTTGCCATTTTAAAAGTCTTCATAGCTAAGTGTGAGTTGCAAATAAAATACATTTAAACGCTGCAAGTACTCAATACTATTTATTGTGCAAAAATTTAGCAATATCTCATCAGTAGAATGTCTCCTTTCATCACTCATCAGAGACAGAACTGGAAGAAGAATCAAAGGAAGAGATATTATTTTCAGTGGATTTGTAGGTGAAAAACAACCAACTTGTGCTTGATAGAATAGTGTCAGTACTGGTTTTGTCTTAGTGGAGATATCCTTTCTGGTATCAGTTGGATGTTGGACTGACCTGAATCATCTTTACAATACCTATTGCATTACCTCTACCTGTGAAGCAGCTCTTAATCTTTTATGCTATATTTTATAATTATAATATGTAATAGAATAACAATTTGCATTTATATGGACCTTTCATGTCAGGTGGAAATCTCTTCATAAAGCTGACTGGGCACTGAAGTTAGGTGGGGGGAAGGATAAAGACAGAATTCATTGGGATGTTTGTTCATCAGTCTAGCTCAGATTGATTCTGAATCAGAAGCTTGTAGTTTGAAGCCCCACATCGAGACTCAAATTCATTCTCAGTGCTGATACTCCAATTCAGTGCTGCTGTTTTATTGCATTGTTGGAGCGATTATCCTTTGGTTGAGATGTTAAACTGAGGTCCTGCATGTTCAAGTGGATATTAAAGATCCCATGGCACTACTCGAAAAAGAGAAGGGAGTTTCCCCTGATGTCCTGGTGAACCGACCCCAAATAAAATTGGTCATTTGTTTCATGGCTGTTTGTGGGACCTTGCTGTGTGTACCTGGGCTGCTGCGTTTACACTCCGCTTTGCAGTAAGTTTTGTGAAGCACTTTGGGACATCCTCTCAATGTGAAAGATGCTATATCAAATGTAAGGATAATTATTTTTATAATAATCTTTTTTCATGGACTAGGGATGATTTTACAGTGCTAGCATCTTGCAGTTGCATTCAATTGAACTCCAGCCAGAAAGCTACAGACCCACCCACGGACTAACTTATTAATTTCCTAGAATCTGAGGAACAGGCTGCTCTGTTCTTTGTAACAGCAGGGTTTACCATGCACTTCCAGACGTTTTTCATTGTTCCCATTTTAAGATGCAAGAACTCAGTCAAAGGGCTATATATCAGGCAGAAGCAGTAATGTTCTCTAACAGTGCAGTAATCAAAACTGCATTCTGCAGGTCAATGTATTCTTTCTCATTAATTGAGCCCCAACGTAAAATTTGTCATCTCAAAGGGTGTGGGCAAATAAGCAAACAATTTATTTCCTGAGAGTTTAATACCATATGCAACCATTGTGACTAAATGATCTTCCAGCATTATACAACATTTAATTCCTGTTTCTGGGATGCTCCGATAGTTAATTTTCTCAATGCTGACAACCCAATTCCTCTCTGCTAATTGCCACTTTGGGAAAGGCTTTTTTTCCCCCAATTTATCTATTATAGGTTCTGTTTATTATGTACAGTATCTTGCTAAAGCCTGGGAACTGTCTTATTCTCAGAGGAAGAGAAGCGAGAGGATGTTTCACTCGTTAAAGACCATCTCAAGCAAAGGTCCCCTGACCATAAAATTCCTTTGCTCATTACTCTTATATTGCTGAGGTTAATCGCTCCACGATTTTGTATTGCACTGCCCTCGAATACCCATACATATTCCAGTTTTGATAACTTATAACAACTAGAGAATGTTAGGAACTTAGGAACTCAGACTCAGGAGAAGGCCATTCAACTCTTCAAGCTTGTTCCGTAAATATATTAGATCTTTGCTGATCTTTTAATCTCAGTGTCCAGCCCTTTTGCGATACATCTAAATACCTCTACTGCACAATCTTTACTATCCTTGTTTCTGATATCTGACGCATGCAAAATCCATCACCATGCTGAAGAATATCCAAACAAGAGTTCCACATATGTAGCCATGCAAAAATTATTATGTATTGATGTTGTTTTGTATTTTTACTCCCAACAGGTAACTAGAGAAAGTGGCCCTCCTCACATGAAGAGCTTTGTTACTCGTGTGTCAGTTGGAGACTTTACAGCAGACGGAGAAGGAAATAGTAAGAAACTCTCTAAAAAACGAGCAGCAATATCTGTTCTGCAAGAGCTGAAGAAACTTCCTCCCCTTCCAGTGATAGAGAAACCTAAATCTCACTATAAGAAGAGGCCCAAGTCTATACTAAAGGTAAGCACATCATTCATTGCTACAGGCATTTAAATTATTTGAAGAAAGAAGTTTTGTTGATTTTCAAACCAGATTTAGATCAGTTTGCTTATTAAGTAGCTGTGAATGATTGGCATTGATCCATGAATGAGAGTTTAGGGCTGACTCATAGAAGTACACTGTATCAGCTTTTTTAACACTAATCCTCGGTTTTATAATTGGCTAAACCAAGCATTTGCTGTAGTTTTTATCTGAACTTAACGCTGGGATGTTTCTGTTTTCTGTGGTAAACAATATAACAAATTCAGCAAAGTTTGAGAATCTCAAATATCTGCGAAGTAGAATCTGAGAAAGGGTTCCTTACTTTGGTTACACTGTTGGACAGACATTACTGGTGGACAATTAAGTAAAACAAACCTGAGGATTTATCAAAAATATTGTAAATGCAAAATATTTCACTTTTTAGTCCAATAGTCAAAGCTTAGGGACCCCAGAGAGTGCATTGGGGTACTGCTGGAGTCGAACCAACTAAAACTGCATAGCTTGCCATTGTCTGGCAAGCGTTCCCGCTGCTTTTCCATCCAGGACCATCCTACACATTAAACCACCTTACAAAGGCACAGTCGAAAAGGAAAGTCTTGAGGCAGGCCTTGAAGAAGGCAAAGGAGGGGGGAGGTGAAGGGGCTCAAGGTAGGGGCAGAAAGGCTGAAAGCACAACCGCTGATAGTGGAGCAGTTAGGACAGGGGACATGGAGCATGCCAGTGCCTGCAGAGCAGAAGGAGCAGACAGGTTGGTAAAGTTTTAATGGGTCGCAGAGGTAGGGAGGAGCAAGACGGTGGAGGGCTTTAAAGATGAGGACAAGGATCTTGAACTTGATCCTCTGGGGAATGGAGAGCCAGTGAAGCTGGGCAAGGATGGCAGTAATCGGCTCACAAAGCTTAGTGCGGGAAAGGTGAGGTGAATCACTCTATGCTCCAACCTTGGAAAAATCTTACCCTTTGTGCTGTGTGTTGCAAAGTGAGGCTTTGTCCAGCTTCCTAACTTGCTGTCTGAGGGGCTCTTGTATGCCACATTGTGATTGTCTGTACTGCTTCCCACTTGTTCTAGGGAAGATATGTGGATATCTTGAGTATAGCAGGACTGGTGCAACCACCTTCCCCCCAGTAAATGACATTAACTGTTTCAGCATTTCTTCCAGCAAAAGCAAATTTTCTGAGATTAGGATTATCACATGATTACACTTCATGCCACACCTGACCTAGGAGTGTTTGGTGTTGAAGCGGTAATAGCAATCACCAGCATATTCATCACTCATGTTGAAGCATACAAAAATGTAGGAGTTATTGACTAAATTATTTAGTCCGTTACTCCTACATTTTGTAGGTGTTTGTCTCCCAAACCCATTGATAGCAGAAACCAATAGGTTTGTGGAGACATTATTTTCCTTTTTTTTTATTCCAAAGCCGTGACTTTGGAACTTAGTCACTTCTCCTCCCACTCCCTCTTCGAATCTCTCCAGTCCGGTTTCCGCCCTGCCCACAGTACAGGGACTGCTTGTGAAAGTCACAAATGACATCCTCTCTATCTGTGACCAGGGCTCCCTCTGCCTCCTTGTGCTCCTGGATCTCTCCGCCGCTTTCGACACAGTCGATCACGCCATCCTCCTCCACCGCCTTTCCTCCATAATCCACCTCAGTGGGACTGCACTCGCCTGGTTCAAATCCTACCTCACGAATCGCCAGCAGTACATCTCCACAAACGGCTTTTCCTCCCGCTCTCACCCGGTTACCTACGGGGTCACAAGGATCCATCTTTGGCCCTCTCTTTTTTCTGATCCACATGCTCCCTCTTGGGGATGTCATCCGCAGACATGGGGTACATTTCCACATGTATGCAGATGACACCCAGCTCTATTTTTCCACCTCACTTTGCGACCCCCAGTCGCCTGATGATCTGTCAGCCTGCCTGTCAGACCTCAGGAGCAGGATGAGCGTGAATTTCCTTCAGCCGAACGTTGACGAGATGGAAGCCATACTTTTTGGCTCTTGCCAACGTCTAAAATTACACGGTTCTCACCTCCTCCACCTACCTGACCTCCCACTAAAACTCTCCGAACCGATACGCAACCTAGGCAACAGGTTCGACCCCCAATTATCCTTCCTCCCCCACATCCGGTCACTCACCAGCACCGCCCGTCACCTCCAATAACTCACTCCAAAAGCCGCTGAAACCCCAGTCCAGGCCTTTGTCACCTCTCGGTTGGACTATTCAAAATGCCCTCCTCGCCGGTCTCCCCTCCACTACCATTCATAAAATAATAATAATAATAATTGTTGCATTTGATATAGCGCTTTTCACATCGGGAGGACATCCCAAAGCGCTTCACAGAACACACTGTAAAGTGAATTGACTGTATATTTATGGGCGAACGCGGCAGCCAATTGCGCACAGCAATGCCCCACAAACAGTTGTGAATTGAAAATGACCAATTTATTATTGTTTTGGGTTTTGGAGGGATTGTTATTAGGCGTGTGGAGTAAGGAAACTTGCCCAAGGTTTCGCCCTGCCTGGAATTGAACTCAGGTCTCTCGCTTGCAAAGCGAGTGCTCTAACCACTTCAGGTCATACAAAACTTTGCTGCCCGCATTCTTACCAGCACCAAACTCCCCGATTACCCCAGTTCTTGCACTGCACTGGCTGCCTGTCCCAGAGAGGATAAACTTCAAGATCCTCACCCTTGTCTTCAAATCCCTCCACTCCTCTGCAACCCCTACCTCTCTGACCTCTCTCCTCACAACAGTGCCCGTTGCCTTCGCTCCACCAGGTCTGGCCTCCTCCTTGTCCCCCGAGTCCTCCGCTCCACTATCGGCGGCAGTGCCTTCAGCCACTATGCCCCGAGGCTCTGGAAATCCCTTCTTCGATCCCTTCGCCTCGCTACCCTCTCTTCCCACTTTCAGGTCTCGGCTGAAGACCTTTCTTTTCAACTGCGCCTTTGGTCACCTTCCTCCCCCTGGCTCGGCCCCGGGATCTGTTACTGTGAAGCGCTCTGAGACGTCGTCTGGCGTGGAGGGTGCTATATAAATCCAAGTTGTTGTTGTCTTTGTGCTGCATGTTTGTATCATCTGCTTGTAATTAGTTTTCAGTTGGATTCCTGAAACTCGAGTAATATATGGAATGGACAAACTCGTATCGCTCAAATCAGCCAGGATAATGACTTATATTGAGCAACTGGTGGGAATTTGTGCTGTGGACTCATTTTCACCATCGAAGAGTTCCAATTTGGAGGAACAACCCATTCAGATTATTCAGTGCCTTTTGTGACCACAAATTTCATCTGAGGAAACATAGTTGCCAAAATTTGGATGTTCATGACAGAATTGACTGATCAGATTTAATTTGTTTGATGAAATTTGTACTTGTGAAAAAAGCAAATTTGTAAAATAATATTTTCAAGTTGTGCAGGTTTGACAATCTCTATTGACTTGGTACCTGAGGAATGGCGACTAATTAATTTATAAAATGAGCTGTCCATCCCACTCTCCTCTGCACCTCTCATCCCTTCCCCAACATTCAAATTGTGTACTTTCCATTTTTAAAGTTTTGCCCACAAAATTCACGGTCAGTCCACTTGACAGTATATTTTGTGAAGCGCTTTGAGACGTCCCAACGATGTGATAAGGCACTATATCAAATGTGACGATTATTTTTATTATTTTGTGAGTGAAACACGACAGCCAATTGCATACACCAATGTCCTACAAAATTGAGGGATCAAATATTATTATTATTCTCATCTCTGTTACAGACTGGTCCTGAGTATGGCCAGGGGATGAACCCCATCAGTCGACTTGCCCAGATCCAACAGGCTAAGAAGGAGAAAGAACCCGAGTATCTACTGTTGTCTGAAAGGGGCTTGCCTCGACGCAGGGAGTTTTTAATGCAGGTATATTCAGAGACAATTTCCAAATTAAAAGATAAGTGAGCATGATTTATGTTTAAAATGACTAAATGTAATTTTCACAATTATGTCAATTTTACTGATTTCTGAACATTCTTATGGATTTTCTTATAATGGTATTCACTTCATTTGAAACTATTTTCATGTTGAGAAATGGTTTGAGACTTTTACATGAAAGACACTATACAAATGTAAGTTGTAGTGTAGCTCTATCTGTGCCTTTGAAAGCCATAGATGTTCTGAAGGTACATGCCACTCGCCAATCCCTACCAGGCTCCACTGTTTCCCCGACTCCGAAAGGATCAACTTCAGGATCCTCACCCTCCCATATCCTTCACACCCTTGCCCTTCCTACCTCTCTAATTTACTCGTACCCCACCATTCTGCCCACGCACTTCGCTCAACTAACACAGACCTGCCTCCTCCGTGCCACCTCTGGCCATGCCTTTAGTCACTACTCTGAACTGGAACTTCCTGGCTCAATCGTTCTGTCTTGCCCCGTCTTTTTGTATCTTTAAATCACAGCTGAAGGCTCCCTCGTCAACCATATCTATGGTCCCCTTTCCCTTCTCATTGCTTGGTGTACACCCCTGCCATTCTGCAGTGGTCCGATACGCTATCCTGTGTGAAGAGCAACATAGAAATACAAGTTGTTGTTGTTTTTGCCACTCAAAAATTTGGTGGTGATTCAGTGAACATTACCTAGCAAGTGGTGTTGATCTACACTCGAGATTTGAGTGATAGGCTGCTCCATTTCCATGGAGGTATGGAGCAACTGTTGCAGAGATCGCAGTAATTTTATAATTTTGATCAGTGGATTCTCAAATCTTGTCCAGAAATTTGCAAACAATTAGCCAACTATCTGTATCATTGTCCCTTAATGGGCCCTCGAGAGGGATCTTTCAACGTTTGCCTATTAATATCAGTTCAAATTTCAATTGAGAACTTTCAATGGTATTTGGAACCGTATACTGAAAAGCTGTATAAAAGCCATGTCTTGTGTTTTGCTCGGGGAGTTCCAGAAGTTACAGGCACATTAACAAAAGGCTCAGCCACTGGTGGTGCGGAGGGAGCAGGATATGCTCAGCAGGCCCACGGGAGGGGGCAAGCAGAGGAGTGGGGTAGGAGAAGCTCAGAGAGATAATGAGGTGCGTGAGTGTGAACTGATTTATAGGTGAGGACTTTGAACTCAATACTTTGGGAGACAGAGAGAGTGGAATCTGGTGTGGACTAAAATGATGGGTGGGAGGATGAGGTTGTGGGCGGCAGAGCTTTGGATTAGCAGAATCTTATAGGTTGCGGAACTGGGGAGACCAGCGAGGAGTGAATTTGAAAAGTCTATATAAATGCAATTTATTGTTGGGAGTTAACAAAATTGTGAATAAGGGTTTCAGTGGCATTTTGTGTCATGGAGGCAGCGATAATGTGGCAGAGGTGAAGAAAAGCAGATTTGGTCAGAGACCGAACGTAATCATAGTGGGAATTAAGATATAAATTATCCTAAAATTCTGTTTTCCCACTTTGACAAAAGGGCTTTCCAACTGTCCTGAAAATATAACAGACTTATTGGAGCATTTATTTCCTTGAATGGGAAGTTCCAGGTGTTATCTGGTTCGCAAGAGTCATGTCAAGTATTTTAGCTGCTCATTTTAAATATAATTAAATGTAAAGGAAAAATATCTTGACATGAAATGTTCAGTGTGTCAAGAAAAGAGTAACGTTCAATTTAGTGAGATGGATCCAGTTACTAAAAGTCTTTGTCTATTAGATTATAGCAAAGTTCTGGTAGTGTTAAATGTCATCAGCTGTTTCCATTCCTGAGTCACGTAACTCACAAGCAGTAGTGATCCTTTAATCCTTCTGCCAGAGATGGCAGACAACAAGACTAGTCTTGCAGGTTTAGGGGACGGGATGTGCGGAATTTGATATTTTATGTTTCCGTTAATTAAATTGGATTAATGTTCTGCTTTGCATCAACAGAATTGTTTTTCACATATATGGGATCTATAATGTACCAACTTCTAACACGGATTCTTCATAAATGATTTCCTGTTGCAAACAGGAACTCCTATAACAACAACAACTTGCATTTATATAGTGCCCTTCATGTGGAACACTAACCTTCAATAACTTTTTGCAAATGGATTCTCTTGGAGCAAAGTTGGGTTTGACTCCTAGGCAGGGCGAAATGTTGGGCAAGTTTCCTTACTCCACACGCCTCTATTTACCTAGCAGTAAATAGGAACCCAGTTGTTAGTCGATTGGCGAATCGCTTTTCTGGAGGTAATAATTCCTTCACAAAGAAATAATAATATGGTCATGCAATCCATGACTGTTTGTTGGACACTACTGTGAGCAATTGGCTGCCACTCTTCGCCCACAAAATACACAGTCAATTCACTTTACAGTATATTCTGTGATGAGCTTTGAGACGTCTTGAAGATGTGATAAGGCACTATATCATGTAGAGTTCTGTAGCTCAGTGCATTAGAGCACTCGCCTTGCAAGCGAGAGACCTGGGTTCGATTCCCAGCAGGGCAAAACCTTGGGCAAGTTTCCTTTCTCCACACACCTGATAATAATCCCTCAAGAAAAAAAACAAAAAATAATAAATTGGTTACTTCAATCCACAACTGTTTGTGGGACACTGCTGTGCGCAATTGGCTGCTGCGTTTCGCCCACAATTATACAGTCAATTCTGTGAAGAGCTTTGAGACGTCTAGAAGACGTGAAAAGCGCTATATTAAATGCAAGGATTTTATTATTATCAAATGCAAGGATATTATTATTCATACTGTCACTTCAGTGGCCTTTTTTCAAATTTCCTGATCAAAAGCCACAACTTAAACTATGCAAACAGGAATATAGAATAGTGTTTTCATAAATTGGTGAAGTGAAAAAAATATTCCACAATATTGATAGTCTCTATGTGTAATGCTGGCTCAGCAACTCCAATTACCGGTCATGAACACTTAAGTCGTGAAGAGGTTCATTCCAACTAAATTGCCTGTAAAAGCCCTTCTTGGGACCAATCAGCACAATGGGCAATTAAATAATAATAATAATCCTTGCATTTAAATAGCGCCTTATCATGTCTTTGAGACGTCTCAAAGCCCTTTACAGAATATACTGTAAAGTGAATTAACTATACTTTGTGGGTAAAACACGGCAACCAATTGCACACAACAGTATCCCACAAACTGTCATGAATTGAGTGACTATATTACTATTATTTATATATTTTTTGAAAGGATTATATATTTTGAAAATGGTATTCAGAATAAAATGGATGTTTGTCTGTTTTAAAAGATTATTCTATGTGCTGTGGAAAGAAGGTGTGGGACAATGGAGAAAAATAAATCACAAATCCACATCAGTAGGTTTTTCCCCTTTTGTAAGATATTAGAAGGTCTAAATGTTTGATTAAACTATTTTGTTTACTGTAAATTGTACTTTTTTTTGCTAGCTGTACAGTGAAACTATTACTTAAATTGGGAAAACTTCAGAGAGTGACTCTGGAACCTGTCACGCAGAGAATGGAGACTGACTTGGCATCAAGTTCTGAAAGATATATATTTAAATGTTACAATGGGTCCGTTGCAGATTTTAATAATCCTTGCATTTGATATAGCGCTTTTCACGTCGGGAGGACGTCCCAAAGTGCTTCACAGAACACACTGTAAAGTGAATTGACTGTATATTTGTGGGCGAACGCGGCAGCCAATTGCGCACAGCAATGTCCCACAAACAGTCGTAGATTGAAAATGACCAATTTATTATTGTTTTTGGTTTTTTGGAGGGATTATTATTAGGCTCTGTGTGGAGTAAGGAAACTTGCCCAAGGTTTGGCCCTGCCTGGAATAGAACTCAGGTCTCTCGCTTGCAAAGCGAGTGCGCTAACCACTGAGCTACAGGACTCCACAGGACTTCATTTTATGTCTAAAACATGAAACACCCTCCGACCTTCCTTTCAATCCGGTCGTAGCCCCAGAGCATTTTCAGCCACTCACCTCCTATTAAATATTTACATTGACTTCTTAGACTATTGGATGTTACAATGTTTCTCCATTCCTCTGGAGACATTCATATTCCTTCCTTTGAAGACTTCAGTACGGATGAATTTTCTAAACTTCTATTTGTCTTCTTCAGTGTATTTGACTGCTTTAACTTGGCTCAGTTGGTAGCACTTGCCTCTAGGTCAGAAGGTTGTGTCCAAGCCCCACTTTGGGACTTTGAACTCACAATTCAGGATGACACTCCAATGCAATGCTAGCCGAACCCTGTATTGTCAAGGAGCCATGCTTTGGATGAAATGGCACACCAAAGTCCCATTTCCCTGTTCAGGTGGATTCAGGTTAAAAATTCCATGACACTATTCAAAAAGAGAGGAGTTTCTCCTGGTGTCCTGGCTAGTTAAGCGTTCCAAGACGCCATCCGGCATGAAGGGCCTATATAAATGCAAGTTGTTGTTATTGAGAATCTCCCAGATAAACGTCGCCATTCACTTCATGACTCTGGGACCAACTGTGCACAAATTGGCTGCTGCTTTTCTCTACAAATCATTCAATTCACTTGATAACAATTCCCTGTGAAGCACTTTAAGACTTTTGACATTAAAAGCAATATATCAAATGGCAGGGATTATTTATTGTTATTGTATGTGCCTATTTCCAACTATGTCTAACATGTTGGCTAGGATGTAGCATGAATTTTATGTGGAATTAATTTGACCACTGTAGTTAATTAGTTGAATTTACAGTGTAATTATGGATCAAGGGTTGAGATATGGCTAGCAATTATGTTTCTATTGAATGATAATCCAGGGATTGTTTTTCCAGTCTGACATCTGTAGATGAGGTTGAATGGGGACAAATCTTTAATAATTCTAGGTATCAGGGCACAAAACTGATTTATGTGATGAAGATTTTGTATTAAGTGAACACATGTCGAAGATTTTGTTACTCTATGATGATCTTAAATGAGTCATGTCCTGACACCAGGGTCCATGCTGTGACCTGCAGGACCATTAATCCACAGGTCTTAGAATCTAATACCAACAGAATGAATTGGAAGCTGCTTGCAGGACCATCAAGATCAATGATCCCTTTTCTTATCTCTTGGTAAAAGCAACGACAATAAAAAAAATCGCTGATAAAATGGCTCCAGAAAAATTTCCATACTGCCAAAGGCAACAAGTTGCATGTCTGAAACTCACTTTTTGAACTTACACAATCTGTTCATTTTGGATCTGTGAATGTGTAATATTGTGATAATGATAATAATAATAATCCTTGCATTTGATATAGCGCTTTTCACGTCTTCTCGACGTCTCAAAGCGCTTCGCAGAATAGACTGTAAATATATATAGTCTCTCTATATATATAAATGTATATAGCCCTTTTCATGTGAGAGAACATGTCAACGTGCTTCATAGAATGTACTGTGAAGTGTAATGCTTGTATTTTGTAGGTGAAATTCTGAGTTGATTGTAGATGCATTGATTTATTATGTTTTGGTGGTTCACTCTTTTAGGTCAAAGTGGGCATGGATATGGCTACTGGAACGGGCCCTAACAAGAAAGTTGCAAAGCGTAACGCTGCTGAGGCCATGCTGCTGCAGCTCGGTTACAAGGCATCAACGCCTTTGCAAAGTCCACAGGAAAAGGTAAATGTGCAATTTTTATTTAATATTGTTTCATGTGAAGACAAAATCAATCATCAAAGAATTCTGAAATGTACATTATTTGTTATACAATTGTTATTCATTTGGGGATGGGGGAGGGGGTTATATGCCAAATAGTATCATTTGATTTGATGAATGTCATCACTTGTGTTTGAACATTTCAGCTGGGTGAAAAGGGCTGGGATGGACGGAAAGTGACTTTTGCAGATCAGCCAAGTGGACGTAAGTAGATTTCATACGTACAGAATTTTGAAACAGATAAACATTGAATTGCTTTCTTGTTCTATTCCATCTGAATGATAACTGGCTTAATTTTTTCATCTCTTATGTTGAATGCAGCTCTATATTCTGCATATTTTAGGTAGTTTAAACCAAGGACCTATTTGGATCTACTTAGGAGTTTATTCTTTCAAGGTCAATAATAACAAGATAGAATGCTTGAATATAACCTAATAGGATTGTGTCAGAGCAGAGTTCCATTTGGCGATTGAAGGACAATAAGCCTTTATAGCGCCTTGGGACGTCCTCCTGACGTGAAAGGCGCTCTATAAATGGAATCTTGTTGTTGTTTATGTGCGGTTGGGTTAATGTTGAAGCAAATCTGTATTTGCAGCAGATCAAGGAACACCACTTGATCAACATAGTGGTGCCAAGTTCTTGATGGGGTAAGCAATGTCCTAGAGTTCATTCGCCCAGAATGATGGCATATTCTACTTGATTTGTGACGGTTAATCTACATTCAAAGAATAAGGAAGGCCGTACCTGGCATCAGTTATTTAAAACCTAGCTATTTAAAATCTTCTCTTTTATAGTTGGATTGAACAACATCAAAATTGTGAGGTTATGAGTTTTATGTCTCTGTAAAAGTTCTTTCTTACTACACACGCCCAGTATCACCTGAAGTAATACTGCTTTTTCAAGTGTCACGGTTTCACTGGTACAAATGTCAGTGGAGATATTATGGATTAACTTGAATGTGAAGAATGTGCAATTTGTAGAAGTATCCAAACCTAGACACGCATAAAAGGTTATTTGCCAGAAGTTGCTATAAACATTTACGCATTACATCAAGTTTTATTTCACAGATCAAAATTTTCCAAAGCCATAATGAAGAAACATTGTGTTGAATTGGATTTAGTTTAATAAGTGAAAAAGAACTTGAAGGGCATGAAAAGAAATGGAAGAGTTTTAGACTTGGCATGTCCACGACAACTATTTTCCAGTTATCTTTATTGCTTGATAAGCAAAAGTAGCCTTAGAAGGTGCACGTTCATTGCCTGATTGGACCATTTCTGAAGATCCCCTCCAGGCATACTAGTTAGCGACATGATAGTGACAGTATTGTCTAGCACAAATGTAAAAGAGGCATTTGTCACAGGTGAAAAGCAGATAATAATAATAATAATATAATAATCCTTGCATTTGATATAGCGCTTTTCACGTCGGGAGGACGTCCCAAAGCGCTTGATTGAACTGCCTTAGTAATATTAGCTGGTATACAAGATGGAACAATTAATAATCCCTCCATTTGGTATAGCGCCTTTCACGTCAAGAGGATGTGTCAAAGCAATCCACAGGATATACTGTAAAGTGGAGTAACTGTGTTTTTGTGGGCAAACAAGACAGCCAATTGGCCAATAGCAATGTTCCACAAACAGCCATGATCAATTTTATTTAGAGATTGTTGGCCAGGACACCTGGTGAAACTCCCTTCTCTTTTCAACTGGTAATATGGGATCTTTAACATCCATCTGAACAGGAAGTGAAGACCTTGATTTACAACAACAACTTGGATTTATCTAGCGCCCTCCACGCTGGACAGCATCTCAGAGCGCTTAAACATCACATCTCATACTCACATCAATATAGATGAAGCAATCTTTAAGCACAGTGGAGTTTAAAAAGCATTTTGGGGAAAACGGCAGGATAAATTATACTGTGGAAAAAAGTACATCTCCAGGATTCCCACATTGACTCTCAAGAACAATAACAACAAGATTCCATTTATAGAGCGCCTTTCACATCGGGAGGACGTCCCAAGGCGCTGAAGAACTCACTTCCATGCCATTCTTGTGTCGGAGCTGAGTTCTCCCCAGTGTGTAACCTACATTAAATTCAACGTTGTGGAATGCTACAATACTTAAAACTAGTTTTAACTTAAAAATAAAATGATAAAATTGTTTGTGATATTGACAAATGTAAATGTCGGATGCTACCAATGAAATTTGATTTGTTTATGGTCAATAGGATATCTGACACAGGCGGAAACTCATTACTGTGCTTAAGTATCCAAAGTAGTCAGAGTTCCACCTATGTATAACACGTATGCATGACAAATTAAAGAATACCACATCCATAAGCATTTCAGATATAATCACTAAGCTATAGGACTCGTGGAAGAAATGCTGGGCAAGTTTCCTTACTCCGCAAGCCGGTTGTTAATCAATTAGCAGATTGCTTTTCCCGTAGTAATAATCCCTTTTTTAAAAAAATAATAAATTACTGTAACTGTTTAAATTACCAATTATATGAAAAAAATCATATTTGATTCTAAGATGATTTTAAAGTGATATATTTGCATAGTAACACTTGTCAGAATGGTTTGCTATATATTTCTTTGCATTTTTACTGCTGTGTTTATAACACTCCAAAGACAGTTACACAAAATGCAAAAAGTGTACAGTGAAATGCCCTGAGAGTCTGCAAAGAAAATAATTGTCACAATGTGAGTTCTGTGTTTTTTTTCCCTTTATAGCCCAGAAGGGAATTCTCCATCTCTCCCCTGATGTTTATCAGGAGATGGAAGCAAGTCGCAACAAGGCAGCTCCTGGTGTTGCTATAAACTATCTGACATCTACAGAAATGGACCAGGGATCGAGTTCATTTTTCAGCACCACGAGCCACACTGCAACCATTGCGAGGGAGCTTCTCATGAATGGAACATCCCCGACTGCTGAAGCTATAAGCTTGAAAGGAAAAGCACCTACTTCCCCCTGTTCAACAGTACAGCCCTCTCAACAGCTCGAGTACTTAGCCAGAATTCAAGGCTTTCAGGTGGGAAAGTGAAATTGTTGAACAACTATTCATTTTATCAAACATGAAGCTAAACTCATTATTCTAATCAGTCACATTATTTGGCTTATCTAAATTGGAGTCAGTGAAATGATTTGAGGTTCACTGAGTTCAAGCCCTTCTACATGCGATCATCAGCACTTTCTTTCTCTGTACATCTGACTTTTAAGTGAAATGCGAAATGCTGTGAAACATACTCTTAATCCACTAGCATTTATTAACAAATTAAATTTGGTGGTCTTTAAAGGGAATTTGTGAAACTTTCTAGCGAAAATCAAATACAAATTTTTGCAAGTTAAAATCAGTTTAGTACTTTTACTCATGAAATCACTTATACCGTAGAAAAATTGGGAGCATTCAGTAAGCTGTCCAAAAACACTGGAGATTTTGTAAGACAGCTTAACTTTGCTTGAACGGTTTGAGCAATATTTCACTCGGATGTATTTAACAAATTATGTGGTGCAGTCAAATTAATGACATTAAAGTTTAGTACATGTTCAGTTCTGGTCATTATTTTCAGAGAAACTTTAAAATTTAATTTCATTATTATTTCACATGACTAAAGTACTTATGTTACAGTTAGTCACAATGACTGCTAAGTTTTTTTCCAAGATTCTTTCCTCCTATTTTTGCTGGTCTATTGATCCAAACTTTTAAGAGTCCTCTAATACCTCTCCCAATTAGTCTTTGTTGAAACACTGACAGTAAGTATGAACAGACTAGTCAAGCCTGATTCTGTGCACACCCACCTGCTACATACCTGCACTTTCCAGCAGAGGTCACTGAATAGCAATCAGAATGGGACCCTTGCCTTGTCTCTAAGACCAGATTTAGTACCCCCATCTAGCAATAGCTATAACTTGCTGGTGTGTTTGACATAATGCCATAACAGGTAATGCCTTTACCCACAAAACCATCAGGGGAACTGGTTGCAAAGTTAGTATTAGAGATTTATTTTCATTCTTGGTTATCATCAATCAGTATATTGCTTAATGTGGGTGGTTAGGTGGTAACCTGGGTCAATAGAAAAGTGCGCCCCCAATTTCCCTGTGGAATCCACTATAAACACCCTCATCTGTGCTGCGGAGCGGCTCCTGCTGTTGAGATTGTCTGTGTCTCTGTGTGTTTGTGAGTGTCTGTGAGTGTATCTGTATGTCTCCTCTGTGTGTGTGTCTGTGTGTGTTTATGAGTGCTTCTGTGTAAATGTCTATGTGTGTCTCATCTCTGTGTGTGTATCTCTTTGTGTATGTGAGTATGTGTGTCTCTTTCTCGCTGTCTCTCTCTGAGAATGTGTGTCTCTGCGTCTGTGAGTGTGTGTGTGTGTGTGTCTCTCTCTTTCTCTGTCTGTGTGCAGTGCCGGGCCATGAGAGGCAGGAGATGGTGAACTCCTGTAGCCCCACAGTCCGAACACTGGTCCTGAATGTCTGTTTTTTGGCGGATCTCCAAGTCCTTCCCCCCTCCAAATGGACCACCCAGTTTTTGTGAAAGACGAAATCTAATATGTGTTATTTCCTCATGTTTAGTTTTTACCATTAAAGTGAAAAAATATAGGTTGGCAGTAAAATGTACCTCAATAGCACCAATTAAATTCCTCTGCAATTTTTGGTAAATATTTCCACACTTTTCTATTGCTCAGGTGGTATCCCTTTGCCATGTTAAGTTTCCAAACCAAGCTGAGAGTTCTGAATATGCCTGACACCTGCACATGGAAATTTCCCTGTGTTTGCAATGGAATGTATCCCCTCTCCCTAGAATGATGGACCCTGCCAAATTTCGAAGTGTATCAGGTACAGGTGGACACGAACCAAGACTTAGAGACTCCACAGTACATGTTGAAGTACTGCTGGAGTTTAACCAGCTAAAACGCATAGCTTGCCATTGAGAGTAGTGTCTGGCAAGCTTCCCACTGCTTGTCCAGCCAGGACCACCCTGTCATTAGGGTTTGGACTCGCAAGTTAACAGGAGCTGAGTGGGAAGAATCTCTGCACAGTGTTTTGTAATTATTTGTAGGATGTATTACAAGGATATTTAAAGTGACATTCAGCTATTCAAAATTTAGCTTGATGTGAAGCAATTTACCTCTGCAGTTACAGCTTTAACATTTTAACTTACAAATTAGTGGTAGCGGTAAAGGAAGTAATCAAGGAAGGTGTGTGTAAATCATGGTGTTTAGCATGCCAAAGCGTTCTTCAGGAAAATGATAGAATTACTGGCACCTCGTCTCCGGAAAAAGTGCCTTGTGATGTATATCGCATGCAGGGAAATGTATGTAACCCACACTTAGAAGTCTTTGGCTCTGAGGCAATCTCAGTTGAAGCCAAAGTTTTGTAAATTGGCATGTTGTACATAAGGTTCCCTGCTGGAAACAAGTTTGTCAGGTGCTCTTTTTCAACCTCACTGTTGTAATAAAACCCCACATATTACCACAGCTTTTCTTATCATTATTCTCGGTCTCAGCCTTCTCTGTTGTTGTTCTGTTTTCTCCGTCTGTATTCTTGGCCTCAATCTTCTCAGTCATTAATACCTTCTTAGTCATTACTTGGTCATATTTTGTCTAAATAAACAGTCAACCAACATCAGGCTCCAGTAAACCAAGAGGACTGTAGGCGTGAATGCGTAATATTGCTGGTTCGCAGTGTGGTTTATTCTTAGTAATTTCACTCTCTATTGGGCATCACAATAAAGCAGCATGCTTAGATTAAAAAAACGAAATGTTTGGCTGAATAATGTTTGAGTTCAATATTCAAAACAGAGATTTTTGTTGCTATAAGTCCTGGACCCTGTTGGTGTATCATGTTAATAGAATGCCATGTGGTCGAGTCGACTGACTTGCAGTAAAGCTACACTGTTTCATAAAATCAGACATTGTGTTCACATTGTGAAGCTTCGGTAGTAATTATAGTGGTCGATGAAGAGGCAAGTGTTTTATCTACAAACAATGTAATTTACATTTGTATCATGCCTTTCATGTCGGGAAGACAACTCAAAAGTTCTTAATTTTTTATTTTTTTGTCAGCCAGATGTGTGGCACATGCAGAAACCCATCACCGTGCTTAAGAGTACCAAACCAAACTGAGATTTCCATGCATCCTACCTACACATGGAAATCCCAGAGATAGATTGTTGGAATGGAATGCACACTCTCTCCCTGGAGGGACGGAACGCATCCTGCTTTCCTAATTCCGGAAAGTATTAGGCACAGGTTGGCAAGAGCCAAGGCTTGGGGACCCCAGAGTGTGTGTGTTGGGGTACTGCTGGAGTCTAACCTGCTAAAACCGCATAGCTTGCCATTGATATTGCTGTCCGGCAAGCTATCCCGCTGCTTGTCCAGGACCACCCTACCCGTTCGAGCTTTGGCTTGCAGGGTTAACAAGAGTTGAGTGGAATGACTCCCTGCCCCTAGTGACTGGTCTGCCCTTCCAGGTCCTGCCGATGATAGCAGGTGTGCTATCACCAGCAGTGCCTGGAATACTGCTCAAAGTGTTTCAATGTAGGCTGGGCAACTAAGCTGGGGTGGAAGCTGAAGGGAGTGGGAAGGGGAAAAATGACCAGAAGTACAATTGAAGAGGTATGTTTTGAGAAGGACTTTGATCAAGGGTGAGAGAGAGAGTTAGAGGGACTTGTGGATGCAGTTCCAGAGCGAGGGCAGATTGGCTGAAAGTCCATCCGCTGCTGGTTAGGGCGGTGGGCGTGAAGCAGGCTGGTGTTTACTTAGTGACAGTAGTGGCTGGGTCGGTTGGATTGAAGTAGGTTGTGGAGATAGAGCAGGAAGGGATTTGGAAGTGAGAACGAGAATCTTGAATTCGATCTGCTGGGGAATGGGAAACCATGAGAATTGTATGAATGCAACAGAAATTCTGTTATGGTACTTCAATGACAATGTGCTCATGGCTTCGATTCACATCATATAACCAACCATAGGGGAAGAGAATCAGGTTTACAAATTGGAAATTTATCTGAACAAAGATTTCTGCCATCATAACTGAGAATTTGAGAAATCAGAAAAAAAGTTATAGTCATGCAGCTTCACTTATAACTGTGTCAAAAAAATGTAAGACAATTCTGGTAAATCCGAATGGTGGTGTCACAAAGAGGCTAAAGTGAGGGAGCCCTTCACACTGAGTCCTTACTATAGAGAATATTCAGGTCATTATTGGATTTACAACCTGTAGGACGTTAAAATATCAGAGGCAAAAAACGCTATGGAAGAAATTTTCAGAAACATAATGTTACAAGATCAGTCAAGGTTTCCATTTCTGATTGCTTTGCAGGAACCCCTGCTAGATTGGATTAGGCTTGGTTGTAATTCCCATATAGCTGAATAACTTATTGACACTCACTAAGTAGACTCACGCATGACCATTGGCTCTCGAGTTTTGTGTACTGACCTGCTGGACTGCTGGACTTGCACAGATTGGTTTAGGTTTTATTCCTATTCTGAGCTGATTTTAGTCAGCTTGATGGTGTGGGCACTATAATAATCCTTGCATTTGATATAGCGTTCTTCACGTCGGGAGGATGTCCCAAAGCGCTTCACAGAACACACTGTAAAGTGAATTGACTGTATAGTTGTGGGCGAACGCGGCAGCCAATTGCGCACAGCAATGTCCCACAAACAGTTGTAGATTGAAAATGACCAATTTTTGTTATTGTTTTTGGAGGGATTATTATTAGGCTCTGTGTGGAGTAAGGAAACTTGCCCAAGGTTTCGCCCTCTGCCTGGAATTGAACTCAGGTCTCCCGCTTGCAAAGCGAGTGCTCTAACCACTGAGCTACAGGACTCCACATAGATATATTTCTCTCCATTTTCCTTTTTGCCCACCACACACTTAAAGATTCAGTGATTTTGAAGTAATTACGGCACTTTTCAGCAACTTATTAGGATGAGCAGATCAATGAACTATATTTGGGGTCAGTGAACGTGGGCTAAAGAGAAGAATACGTAACCAAGATTTTTTTTCCCCTCATTTCTATTCACTGAC